TCGGGTGCTCAAACTGAAGCAGGTGGTTTTATTAGGGGGCCACATCCCTAACCTTTGACTTAAAGGTCTGATCCACAAGGCAGTGGAGCAATGTAAGGAGATTCAGTCCCTTGGTAGCAGGTGACCAACAATATGTTCATATGCCATTTGTTCCCTCAGGATACTGGAGCCCATGTGCACCATTAGTTTGGAATCGAGGTTTTCCTACTCCCTAGATGGATTCTCCGTGTTTACCAACTCGGTTAAGGCCCCGAAAATTTGCTTTTTGTCCTCACAATTTCGTGAAGAACAGTAATGCCATGAGAATGCAGTGAGTAGGACTTCCCTGGTAGAGGCTGTATGCACGTGACCATGTAAGAGCATTTCAAGAGAGAGAGAGAACTGACTCTCCCCACTCTCGGCGTTACCAGAGAATTTGAGGATTAATCTAACTAAATTGGATAAATGAGTATATTAATAAAATTATGTACTGACGTTGCTTTTTTCTTTTGTTTATTCTTAACCTAAAATAGCTAAATAAATAAATCTTCATCAATCATTTCATAAAATAACAAAGAATGACAAAAGAAGAGAATTCTAATTTGTAGTCAATAATAGCCAAGAATGGATTATTGAAAACAATGGTTTACGGTGTCATAATTCCGTGGATCGGTTGGAGTTAGATATTAACACTATTGGATGTTGGCCGATTCAGTGGTCTAGAGGTTAAGGGTTCACACGAGAGACCGAAGGTCCTGGGCTCGAAACCCTCGAGTGAATCGTGGATGCGCACTACTGAGGATTCCTATTTTATTTTAATTATTCTAAAGTTATACATATATTTGTCTTTTGTGAACATTCTACTGTAAGTTATTCCAGCAAATCGAAAGGCAGATACAGTGAAAGTTAGCTTGAAATAAGATTTTCGATGAAAATTATGATATTGTAAGCAATTTTCATTTATTTATTTTACTATCAGTCCTTATATGTCCTGGAACGGCCGAGGGTAGGGAGAGTTAGCTCTCCCTCTCCAAATGCTCTCACATGGCCACGCATGTACAACCACTGACAGGGAAGTTCTTCTCACTGCCTGCTCGTAGCATTAATGTTGTTTACGAAAGTGAGAGGACGAAAAGTGAATGTCTGATGCTCTAACCTGGTTGGTGGATATGAATGATCCACTTAGAGAGTTGGAAAACCTTGATTCCAAACCAACGGTGCACATGGGCTCCATTATCCTGAAGAAAGAAATGGCGTATGAACCTATTGTTGGCCATCGGCTACCATAGGGATGTATCTCCTGACGTCGCCCTACTCTCTTGTGGATTAGACCTTTAGGTCAAAGGCTCAGGGAGTGGCCTCACAAGAAAACTCAGTCAGTATCACAGCCCATACACAAATCAAGTGGCTTGCGTGGTGTATATATATTCGGTGTATGTATATCAGTGGATCAGTCATATCTATCAATTTATTTGTCTAGTGTGAAATAGTTTAATTCAACAAACATTTTCATATTTGTGTATTGTAGGCTACTACTAGTTACACTTGTTGTTTAGACGAACTAGTTATAATTAAATGATCCTTGATTAATAACCAACGTCATTTTTGTTTAGTTTCACCGTGTTCATCGAATCCTATTGGTCAAGTTGCAGCATGGTTACTAGTCTTAGTGACTCGATATTGTGTACACTTTATTTTGTTTTTCGGTGTTTGTAAGTAGTCTACAGAAAGTCCTGTATCTATGGTTCGTGCTAGTCAGTATTCGTCAGCAATGCGTGCCTACAATTGACAGAATTCAATCAGTACTATATAACTAGACAAACACGATATTGTTCATTACTCAATGATCAAACAATTTACACATCTCTATCCTACAGGAGGTCAATTATGGCTCAAATGATGCCCAGTGATGTCCATTCAAATCTCACAGGGATCATCAGTTCACCTAAGACTTCAAATATCTCTTCTTGACAAGTCCCAACTAGTAAAATGCTTAGTTCCAAGGTGTTCTGTTATCTATGCCATAGCTATCTAACAAGAACTAGTTATACTATCTACTTTATTAAAATCTCTATAGCTACAAACCATTTTAATCTCCATATTCATCATCAACTAATGATCGTTGAATTATAGTTGTACATTTTGAACATCGACATTTTAAACATACAATAAATATTACTTCCAATATTTTCTTTAGACCTATTTTTCTAACTAAAAACTATATTTCACTTGATATTGTTTACTTATATCTTCTCAATGATACTGAATTTGAGTCCCAAAGTGAACACGTACATCCAATTAACGAATCTCAAATAGGATGAAACACACATCAAACTGCATTCTACTACTAGACGCCATTTATCTTTGTTTATAAAAAGAAAAACTGTATTTGTTGTTTATATACAAATCACAAAATCCCTATCCTTAACATATTAGTTTCTCTTAGAAACAAAAAAAGCGAGAGAAAAAAAATCGGTTTTTTGTTGCTGTTGTTGTTGTAACAAACTAAAACGTACAAATACACAGTTCATAGAAGTACTTTTAGTGAATATAATTCTAACCCAAATGATTTATGCCTTTATATATTTAACTAAGAAGAATGTTTCTATGCAGCTAACTTCCTTGGTCGTTTTGTTTATTATTATTTAAATACAAAGAAGCCTATTTTCTCCTTGATTCATACACAATTAGTTTACATGTGATACTATTGTGTATGTCATATGATCTAAGCATAAAATTTATAGAAAAAAAACAACGAAAAAAATCATCATTGATCTCTTCTTTCAATCATATATCGGTTTTCTGATTCTTCCTTCTTGTGTGTGTATGTTTCCTTTTATTGTTCATTGAATTATTTAATAACTGAATTCATGAGTCAATTAAAGTTAGATCACTATGAAAAATCTCGAAGCACTGGATGGTCGTTTCGTCCCAATATGGTACTCCTCAGTGATGCTCACTCAAGATCTGCTCATTAGTAACTGTCTTCACGAGGTATTTCCTAGAGTTCTAGTGAGAAGTCATGACCAGTGGAGTTCAATCAGGCTTTTTGTGAGGTGGTGATTCGGTGAAGAAAATGATGGATGGTGGTGCAATTTCGTGGATTGGTTGAAGTTACACATTAACACTGTTGAACGCCTGCCTGCCCAGTGGTCTATACGTTAAGCGTTCTCATGCGAGACCGAAGACCCTAGGTTTGAATCCCACGAGTGAATCGTGGATATACGCTGCTGAGGAGTCCCGCAGTAGGACGAAACGGTTGTCCAATGGTTCCAGGTTTTCCATGGTGGTCTAGCTTTAATCAACTCATGAATTCAACTCTTAAACTACCACAATCTCCACAAAACCCTATTTCTGATAATTGAATTATTTTACTTCTTCAAAATTGAACAGTACATTTCCGTGCTAGAAAGCCCAATTTTTCCAATATTTTATTCGAAAAGTGAAGTTAATGGCTTGAGAATCTGAAAATTGATTGGCTTCTTGAACTAAATATTACATTAGCTAAAATAATGAGTTCTTAATGTTTACCGGGTAAATAGTACTGTACAGTACGAACAGGGTCGTGGATGCGCACTGTTGAGTAATCCCATATTAAAATGAAATGACCTTCCAAGATTTCCAGGTCTTTAATAGTGGTCTAACATCAATTAATTCGTGATCTTAATCGGAAACATGATAGTAATCCGACGTTTTGAATCAATCATATGTAATCAACCAAACATGGCCACGCGTATATAGCCTCTGCTAGGGAAGTCCTACTCACTACCTTCTCGTGGCGGAGGTGTTGTCTTCGAAATTGAAAGGACGAAAAGAGAATGTCCAACGCTTTAACCGAGTTGGTGGACACAGAGAGTCCACCCAGAGGAGTTGGAAAACACTGATTGCAAACTAATGGTGCACATGGGCTTCAGTATCCTGAAGGAACAAATGGCGTATGAACCAATCGTTGGTCACTGGCTACCATGGGACTGAATCTCCTTACATTGCTCCACTGCCTTGTGGATCAGACCTTTAGGTCAAAGTTAGGCTGTGGCCTCCTAAGAAAACTACCTGCTTCGGTTTGGGCATTCATGCAGTATCACAGCTCTCATACATATCAAATGAGATTTGTGTGGCGCATATTTATTTCGTGCCTCCTTGTACCAGTATCTATGTGTTAAAATAAATAAAACAAGACTCGTATTGAATTCAAATCGTAGAGTTGAATTCTGGTAATCAATACAAGATACCATTTTGTTAAGGGTGTATAGTAAACAAGTATTATAGTATTTACTTCCTATTTGATTCAGTTCACAAATGATTATTTCCTATTTAAAATCTCGGAGAAAGTCATTAATATATATATAGTACAGTAAACAATTAAACAGTTGAATTATTTTAGGGATATGTATATATGTTTCATAGAAATACCGACTTAATCACGTGTATTATATTTACCGCATATTGAAATTACTCATATTCCAAATTAACCTTATGATTTTGTCATTAGTTGTAATGTATTAAAAAACAACTGGTAATATTGACCAACACAAAGTGATTCTCATATAGTTATTCACATTTGGTTCATCACTGGGTAGTGATTAAATATCATGTGTGTCAAGTTCTTTTTAGTGTAGATCAAATGTTATCGACCAAGTTGCAATGTGGCCACTAGTTTAAGTAACTCGACATTGTGTACACTATGTTGAGATTAGTTAGCGGTTGGAGGTAGTCAACAGGAGAACATGCACTTAGTTTTTGTGCTCTTTGGCACTCGTCAGCAAGGCGTACCTGTAGCATTCGATCTGCACTAAAAAGGACTTGACACACATGACATTAGGGTCACAGAGATGGTACAGTCCACTAACTCAACACCTTACATGATTCCTTAAAGAAAAATAATTTCACACTATTTCATTTCTCATCAATATTTTACGAATATTTCTATCTATGATCTTGTAATCCCCTCACATCTATATATTATATATGTTTTGTTTTGTTGTTGTTTTTATTCACCCTCTAAATACACACACATATAGGAAAGTATGCTCAATGGACGTATACATCCAGTTGGACAAGTTGAAGGATTTTCAATTGAATTAGGCGCTAGTGGTTCATTCTATCCAAATCATATACGTCTTCCAATGAAAGCATATTTTTTCAATTTATCTGATGATAATGCGCCATCACCGTATTTAGGCTATGCTGATTTAAAACAATTACCTAGTAATAAAGGTTATCATATACCGAAGAAAGGTTCTATTCAAGTAAGTTCATTGTTGTTGTTTGTAAGTTGTTATCAATCATTTCGTTAATTAGATGGCTAGTTATTTTGTTTAGTTAATGCATCTAACTCATTATTCTATGATACGTTAATGATGACCTATATTGTCTCAATTCTTAATCTTTTCTATAATCACTAATAGTATTACTACTTCTACTACTCTAGGATTTGCTTTGATAGTATCATCTCACTACATTTTCTTGATGGAGTTTTGTTCTTTGAGCTAGATGGTTTGGTCATGGAGCCTTCATCGTTCTTCTGAACGACATCATCAGCACAAACTTCACATAGAAGTCTATCTAGCTCAGAGAACAAAACTCCATCAAAATCATCCACCTGAACTACCAAATGCCCTGGTATGGCCGAGAGTGGAGTGGGCCCGTCCTACCTCTCGAAATGCTCTCATACGGCCACGCGTATACAGTCTCTGCCAGGGAAGTCCTACTCACTGCCTTCTCGTGACGAGGGTGTTGTTTGCGAAAATGAGTGGACGGAAAGCGAATGTTCGGCGCTTTAACCGGATCCCAAACCAATGGTGCACATGGGCTCGAGTATCCTGCGAGAACAAATGGCGTATGAACCAATCGTTGGTCACTGACTACCATGGGACTGCATCTCCTCACGAGGCTCCAATGCCTTGTGAATCAGACCTTCAGGACAAAGGCTCCGGGTGTAGCCTCCTAAGAAAACCACCTGTTTCGGTTTGGGCACCCGGGCAGTATCTCAGCCCACACACAAATATGATGAAATGTCGATATTTATGGAAAATACTTGTCTTGCTTCGATCAACAATCAAACGATTCACGTTATTATTATTATTATTATTATTATTATTATTATTATTATTATTATTATTATTATTATTATTATTATTATTATTATTTTACTTCATTCATTCACTTTCTTTTATTCCCAGTCTGTGTATCCTTATTCTTTGACTTATACAGCAGCTCGCTTATGGTGGAAACTCGGTTCTATCTAAACGTTCTCGAGTCACTGCCTGGTTGAAAATTGTATGCTATACCACCAAATACGAATATTGAAGCAGTTTTCTGAAACCACATGCACCATTCAAACTGGCTGTCTTCAACGTTCGCACACTTATGCAGGTCGGACAGTAGATAGGGCTGGCTATGTCTTTAGAAAGTCTTAATATTGATGTTTGCTGTCTATCCGAGACCCGTATTCAAGACTCTGGCGAAGTACTACAAATTCGACCTCCATCTGTCGCTTCGAAAAGCTTGTTTTACGTGCGCTTATCCGGGGACCCTGTGGCATCTTCGTCTGGTCTTGCTGGCGTTGGTGTCGCACTAAGCGCTAGAGCTGAGGCAGCACTAATCGATTGGATCCCCATTAACAGTCGGTTATGTGCTGTTAGATTAGAAAGTTCCATCAAAGTGAGAAGAAATCGTAGTGAAAAACGATGTCTTTTCGTCATCTCTGCCTATGTCCTGACAGATTGCAACCCGGATGCAATCAAGGATGAATTCTATCATCAGTTAACTCTTCTTCTCCAGAAAGTGCGTTTGACAGATATTGTAGTACTAGCCGGAGACTTGAATGCTCAGGTCGGGCGTCTAGGCACAGAAGAGAGTCGTTAAGGTGGCCGATGGGGACTTGTTGATCGCAGGACAGATAACGGGGACCGTCTACTGCAACTTTGCACAGACCACAACCTGTTTCTCGCTAGCACTAACTTTCGGCACAGTCATCGCCGATGTGCCACCTGGCGTCCTCCCTCTGCATCTCGAGCCTGGACACAGATTGATCATGTCGCGATCAGATACCGCTGGCGTGGTTGTGTACAAGACTGCCGCTCGTTCTGGAGTACCTATCTGGACTGTGATCATGCCCTGGTCTGCGCCAATCTTACCTTACTTTTCAGTGACCAACGAAGTGACCGCTACCAAAGGATTGATGTCAGCAAGTTGGTTGTAACTTCTGTTGCTAGCAAGTGTCGAACCGAGCTAGCTTGTAGGCTAGCTACCATTCCACCGAAAAGTATAGATGAGCATTGGTTGCAATTGCATAATGCCATGAAAATGGTGGGTACAGTCAGTTGTGGGTTCTCGAAACGTCCCGCACTGGGTTTCTTCAGGCTCCATACAACTCATTGAAGCCCGTTTGTCTACTCTGGGTTGCCGTGAGTTTGACCACAAACGAAGGATATTATGTAGTGGAATCAGGCAAAGCTTGCGTAAGGACCGAGAAGCCTGGTGGTCGAAGCGTGCTAATGAGCTGGAAGCAGCAGCTGCATCTGGCAACTACCGGAAGCTCTTCCAACTCATCCGATTCACTGGCAGCAAGAAGTCTCATGTGAGCGAAACGATCTGTGAGATTGACGGGATGCCAATCACTAACATCCATCGACGTCTTGGACGATGGGCAGAATTTTTCGAAGGGCAGTGCAACCGGCCTGCTTCTTCGGAAACATCGGTAGGACTGTACTGCCATCTATGGTCGGTGACGATTGATCCACCAAATGAGGCAGAAGTCCGCAAGGAACTCCAACTCTTGAAGCACCACAAATCACCTGGCCCAGATGACTTACCTCCGGCTCTTTTTAAAGATTGTGGTGACTTTCTGACTAAGGAACTGACGACGTTGTTTACAAAGGTTTGAGAATTAGAGAGTGTACCAACGTCATGGAATGAGTCGATAGTTGTCCCTATCTTTAAAAAGGGTTCACGTCGTTCCTGTAACAACTATCGGGGGATAAGTCTACTTCCGATTGCGTCCAAGCTATTGGCTTCCGTCACACTTCGTAGGTTGTTCAAAACCCGAGAAAGATTGACTCGCGAGGAGCAGGCTGGGTTTCGTTCTGGTCGAGGATGTATTGATCATATCTTCACCCTCCACCAAATGTTAGAACACCGCCATACTTATCAAAGGTCTATAGAAGAGTATGAATTCTATCGAGACCATAGAGATATGTTTTGTTATTGATTTAAAGTGTCAAACAGAATCATGAAGTTTTTTTCTATGTTACGTCAGTTAACTTAGTTACTACATTCATACTTGTTCATAACGGAAACTGATCTACAAATTGCAACATCCATTATATATTACGATTCCAGCCTCAGCTGTTTACGTTGGGAATATTCAGTGAACAATTAAAGTCAGTAGTATAGAATATTCAAAGTACAAATCAGTATTAGTCAAAATTTACGAAGATCAGCCCTTGTGGATTGATGTCTAATAAGATCATAACACAGACTTAGAAAGTCCACTTGGCCTTTATCAAGTTGTATTATCTATGAAGTAGGCAAGATTTCCTTCCAGAAGCCGAGTTTACTCAACAACAGTTCGCTCTTTATTACTGTATGGTTGTGAAACATGTTCTGTTAATTTAGGAGGTATGTTCAGGTTTCAGGTCTTCGGTCATAGATATCTTATAAACACTGATCGCATATCGTTAAACGAATGATTGAACAATACTTCAGTTAGGCATATGGTACTAGGCAATGATGGCAAAACGACTAATGAGTTAGTAAATTTTCTTTGACTGCGGTGATGAGGTCACGTATTTATTACTTGGATCTAACTAACGCTCTTTTCAGTTGTCAATATTTTCTGATGTCGAAGTAGTTCGGAACAAAGCTAGAGTTGAACAAATTAAAACATGACATCGAATCATATAGTTATTGACTATTGGTCTGATATTCACTTTTTTGATTGAGATCATGAACCGATTGATGTTAGACCATCATTGAGAACCTGGAACCACTGAATGGCCGTTTCGTGCTATTGTGCAACTTATCATTAGTGCGCATCCACTATCTAGCTCGCGGGATTCGAACCCGGAGCCTTCGGTCTCACATGTGAACACTTAGCTTTTTATCTTCTTGCCAATCTTGGGTTGTTTCGTACACTCACCTTTTAATTCCACTTTCGTGAAAAATATTCTCAGTGTTTTGTGCTAACACACATATATTTCCTAGACTCTATGATGATTATGACTAACTCATGATCTTCTATTCGATCTAGATTCGTTCTAGATTTTCAATGATCGATCTGTACACACTTCATTTCATGTTTATATTCATTCATTCATTATAAAATAAATTAGTAACTAACTGATAAAGACTCATATTAATTATTAATTAATTATTATTTATAAAGATATGGAAAACATATGGTCTTCATCTTCTTTCGATCGATCGATTTTGAGTGTTTATTTATTTGTTTGTTTGTTTGTTTGTGTGTAAGTGTGTGTAAGTGTGTTTGTGCAAACAAAAATGCAAAAAGTCTTGTGATTTTATTGTATTTTGTCTTAACATTTGATGTCTTGATCTCTTGAGAGGGTATTACAAATTTTAATCAACATTTTATTTTATTGGTCTGTCTATGTATTGATCTATAATAGGTTCATTCGTATCGGATTGTATTATATGTTTCCATAGTCCTGGATATTAAAGTGTATTCATATTTCACATTGTTATAATCGGTTATTGCGATAAAATTATATCAGTAGTATAATTTTACATAAACATTGATACAAGGAGGCACCAAATAGATATGTACCACACTTCATCATTCGATTTTTATTGGGGCTGAGATACTGGCAGGTAGTTTTCTAAGAAGGTCATTCCCCGGACTTTTCACTTAAAGGTTTGATCCATAAGGCAAAGGAGCAACGTCAGGAGATCCAGTCACATGGTAGCTGGTGACCAACAATATGTTCATACGCCATTTGTTCTTTCAGGATTCCGGAGCCGATGTGAACCATTGGTTTTGGATGAGGGTTTTCCAACTCCCCTGGGTGGACTCTCAATGTCCACCAACCCGGTCAAAGTGCCAAACATTCGCTTCACGTTCTCTCAATTTCTTAAACAACAGCCCTACCATGAGAAGGTAGTGAGTAGGACTTCCTGGACAGTGATTGTATGCACATGGTCATATATATATTTAATAGTTAAATTCATTATTCAATTAAAGCTAGACCACTGTGGAACACCTGGAAGCACTGGACGACTGTTTCAT